CAGATGAGGGGGCTGATCAGGGGCTCGCCTGAAAAGGTCAGTGCCGACAGGCAACACTGCTCATTGACGGGTTTCAAAAATAGCTGCAAATCACAAGCCCTTCATTCCCAATGCATGTGTAGACAATGTATACAGCAAATAATTTTCCCTTAGAAGGCATACTTCAATTTCTCTTTTCTTCTCTCTCCCCTAGACCCTAACTTCAATTTTCCTTTTCAGAATATGGCTTTAAATCATTGTGTTTTATCGTTTTAATTTCTCTCTCTCTCTCTCTCTCTCTCTCTCTCTCTCTCTCTCTCTCTCTCTCTCTCTCTCTCTCTCTCTCTCTCTCTCTCTCTCTCTCTCTCTCTCTCTCTCTCTCTCTCTCTCTCTCTCTCTCTCTCTCTCTCTCTCTCTCTTTCTCAAAGCAGGAGGGCCTGACCTTGGCAAGGCACATCTTAAAGTTCCTCTTAGTGAGTGCACATAGAAACCATGCATTATCCTTGTGCAAACCGCTGGATGAATTCATGCTAATGTTCTCAACTCTCAGTCAGGGCAAGCAAAGCACAACATTCAATTTCATGCATATCATCACCACACCTGCTCTTGCTCTTGTTTTTGTTTTTTGGATGTGTTGTTCAGAAAACGATGATGTAATGTAGTGCCCGTAGATGCCTTGTGACTGGTTGACATTGAGTCATTAATTTGTTAATACGTTTAAAAAAGAAGTAGGCCTATCTTATGTTCACCAAGGCTGCATTCATCACACATAGAGTAAAAACAGTAATATTGTGATTTTATGGTATATTGTCATAGTGTATTATTGATAGTTTTTTTATGCTGATTGAAAACAGTTGTGCTGCTTAATATTTTTGTGGAAACTGCTATTTCTTTTCCACAACTCTTTGATAAACAGAAGAACAGCAAAAATATTTTAGACTGCACTATGTGTCAACTTTATTGCTGATATGCTGCAAATTTAATTTCAATTCAGTTTTGATGATGAGGAAATTAGAAGGATGTTCTTTACTTGTACAACTAATGACAGTTGTGACGTATAGATCAATTAATATTGATGTTTAGTTAAATCGAAAGCTACATGCTGCTGGGTTTTGTAGGCTTTGTGTTCACTGTTCATTCTGCCCGAAACTCTTACTGAAAAAATTATTACGAGTCATGCTGAAAAGTTGTGTCCAAACAACTGTCAACAAGTCTGGAAGCTGATAAACTTGTGTAATTATAGACTTGTAATGAGAAGGAATGTACAGTACATCAACATTGGGATCAACATTGATCTCCTGCTGATATACACAGAAGAGTGATGTTGAGTCAGGGTCGATTTAGCCAACATTAGGTGATGGAGTGATGGTTTCCTGGTGATGTAGGAATTCTTTGTCTAACTCTAAGGCTGCATTAATGGCATGCATAACACTCTAATGTATGGGATTTAAAAATAAGGACTTAATGTATCTGTTTAACACACTGTAACAAACCTTAATTTTAATCTGGTTAAATGATTGGTAAGGATTAGAATGACTCCTTTTAAATCATATTATGTATTTCCTTATCAAAATCAAAATTACTAAAACCTTCTAGACATGATCAATGTTTCTATATTTCCAATTGATAAACTATTCTCTCTCAGTTAATGTGAATGTTAATATGCGTTTAATGGTTTATATATGCTTTGCAAAACACTGCAGATTAAGTCTATTGATGCAAGATTATATCCAAAGTACATGGAAATAAAATCATTAGATAACAAAAAGGGAAAAACTGATCCTATCTCATCAGTCTTGACCTGAATGACACACATGACTCCATATTTGTGATATTGGTCTGTCACAGACCCGGAAACCGCATATTTAGGGGAATTAAAGAATACTAATGTCTTGACATCGAGGTCCTTATCTGGTGCAATACGTGAGATTTTGCTGTGAGCCCTGGCAATGTCTACTGGAAACAATTGGTTTGGGTTTTATCTAAATACATTGAACCCAGAACTGCAAGCTTTTCTATACAAAATCCATTCTAGAAATTTAGTGGGTCTAAATATTAGATAACAGTGAATGTAATTCGTGTCCTGAAGTTTTAGTCTATGTGAGACTGACAGGTCAAAGGTCAAGGATTGGTTTATAATATGATTGACTTGTTATACGATGCCCTGAGATTATGGTAGTGGCTCATATATCTGATAATACCAGTGCTTACTCCTGTCAAATGGAGACTAATTGCAATATTGATGCATGTTATGCAAATATCCATCATGCTTCAGGGAAAGGTTGCTTTGCTCTAAAGGTGACCTTCTTTAGCATCACCCTTTCCCACATGTATGGCAACATCCTGAAAAAGAAATGAGAGGTTCCAGCTCCTTTGGAAGACGAATGTGTGTTAAGGAAAAAATAAGTTAGCCTCTAAAACCCTGTTTCTTACTTTTATTATCTAATCTGAAACAGAATATGTACAAAACTGCAGAAAAACAGGCCTCTAAAGGTCTCATAAAAGAAACGCTGGAGAGCTTTAAGGGGACATTCATTGACTTTAATGGGATGAACTGATTGCCCATATCTAATAGAAATCGTCGCCTTTGGCTAAAGCGGGTGTGGAATTAGATTACATGTGGAACACAATGCTTTTACTGCTTCTTAGAAAACAACTAACCCAGATAGCAAAATTGTTGTGGCCCAGATCCGGCCCACAGTTGACACTTTCATCTGGCCCACATACCGCGTGGAATGATGGCACTTGGGCGGTCCGCTCCTGTTTGCCAGATTTGGGCCACAATTAAGCCATAGCAATGCCGCATGTCAGCCGTAAACAAAACAAATGAAGCAGAACTGGCCCACATCTGGCCCAGACACCAAAATTGCTGTGGCCCAATTCCGGCCCACACTTGACACTTTCATCTGGCCCACATACCGCGTGGAATGATGGCACTTGGGCGGTCCGCTCCTGTTTGCCAGATTTGGGCCACAATTAAGCCATAGCAATGCCGCATGTCAGCCATAAACAAAACAAATGAAGCAGAACTGGCCCACATCTAGCCCACAGTTTAAAGTTCAAAGGGTATGTGGGCCAGATGAAAGTGTCAACTGTTGGCCGGATCTGGGCCACAGCAATTTTGGTGTCTGGGCCAGATGTGGGCCAGTTCTGCTTCATTTGTTTTGTTTACGGCTGACATGCGGCATTACTATGGCTTAATTGTGGCCCAAATCTGGCAAACAGGAGCGGACCGCCCAAGTGCCATCATTCCACGCGGTATGTGGGCCAGATGAAAGTGTCAAGTGTGGGCCGGAATTGGGCCACAGCAATTTTGGTGTCTGGGCCAGATGTGGGCCAGTTCTGCTTCATTTGTTTTGTTTACGGCTGACATGCGGCATTGCTATGGCTTAATTGTGGCCCAAATCTGGCAAACAGGAGCGGACCGCCCAAGTGCCATCATTCCACGCGGTATGTGGGCCAGATGAAAGTGTCAAGTGTGGGCCAGATCTGGGCCACAGCAATTTTGGTGTCTGGGCCAGATGTGGGCCAGTTCTGCTTCATTTGTTTTGTTTACGGCTGACATGCGGCATTACTATGGCTTAATTGTGGCCCAAATCTGGCAAACAGGAGCGGACCGCCCAAGTGCCATCATTCCACGTGGTATGTGGGCCAGATGAAAGTGTCAAGTGTGGGCCAGATCTGGGCCACAGCAATTTTGGTGTCTGGGCCAGATGTGGGCCAGTTCTGCTTCATTTGTTTTGTTTACGGCTGACATGCGGCATTACTATGGCTTAATTGTGGCCCAAATCTGGCAAACAGGAGCGGACCGCCCAAGTGCCATCATTCCACGTGGTATGTGGGCCAGATGAAAGTGTCAAGTGTGGGCCAGATCTGGGCCACAGCAATTTTGGTGTCTGGGCCAGATGTGGGCCAGTTCTGCTTCATTTGTTTTGTTTATGGCTGACATGCGGCATTGCTATGGCTTAATTGTGGCCCAAATCTGGCAAACAGGAGCGGACCGCCCAAGTGCCATCATTCCACGCGGTATGTGGGCCAGATGAAAGTGTCAAGTGTGGGCCAGATCTGGGCCACAGCAATTTTGGTGTCTGGGCCAGATGTGGGCCAGTTCTGCTTCATTTGTTTTGTTTACGGCTGACATGCGGCATTGCTATGGCTTAATTGTGGCCCAAATCTGGCAAACAGGAGCAGACCGCCCAAGTGCCATAATTCCATGCGGTATGTGGGCCAGATGAAAGTGTCAAGTGTGGGCCACAGCAATTTTGGTGTCTGGGCCAGATGTGGGCCAGTTCTGCTTCATTTGTTTTGTTTATGGCTGACATGCGGCATTGCTTTGGGCTAATTGTGGTCCAAATCTGGCAAACAGGAACGGACCGTTCAAGTGCCATCATTTCACGCGGTATGTGGGCCAGATGCAAATTATGGCACTTAAGGCAGTCCCCTCCTGTTTGCCAGATTTGGGCCACAATTAAGCCATAGCAATGCCACATGTAACCCAAACACAAACCAAATAAACCACACCTGGCCACAGTTGATTTTTATACAAACCCTGGTCTTTCCCAACATTCCTCATGCAGAATGGAATGGTGGCACTTTTGCAATTCACTCCGGTTTGCCAGATCTGGTCCACAAGCAGGCCATTTGTTCAGCCACATGTGTGTCAAGAATTACATAAATAAACCATAACTGTGTGTTTTTGTGTGTGCATGCTGTGCCTGACACTAAGAGAAATATACACTAAAGAGAAATTTAAAAATGCCCCCTTTCTATGTTAAAAAAAGTTACAACAGATGATTTAAACACATTTCTGAAAACATTTGCATTATTTATTAATATTTTCAAAGAACAACCAAGTGCAAGTTTCAATTTTCAAAACTGGAAAGCAATCTAAAAAAAAATAGTAATAATAAACAAACACAAAATATGTGCATATAAAATATCTTAAAACTAAACAAAAAACAAAATATGTTTCCAGTTGGTCATCCCAAAAAAAAGACAACGCAGAAGTAAACACACTTTTAAAACACTGACAAATGGAGCCATCCAAAATTAAAGAATTTGACCTCCTTGACTGGGCCCATCTGCGTCATCATGGCAATCTTGCAAGCCTTTATTGGATACACAAAAAAACAAAAACTGTTGACTCAGTAACAGAATGCTGATTTTACAATAGTGTTTTACTAGCAATAGCACATTAATACTGAATGGGGAAAAAATGGACTGGACCTACCAGTGCATTAAACAGTTTGGTAACTCTAAAGGCCTATTTATACTTCTGCGTCGAACTCACGCCGTAGCTGCGTCGTAGGCTGTGTGTAGCGCGCGTACCCTTCAGCGTACCCTGACGTGCACCTCTCCAAAAATGTAACAACACGTCAACTCTATGTGGACGCAAGCGCTGTGATTTGTCTGCCAGGACCGCTCCCTAGGGTTTCACATGCTCCCTCTACAAGTGTAATAGCGCGTCAACGCGGACAACGACGCAAAAGTATAAATGAAAACCAACGCGTTGCCTACAGCGTAGAAGCTCCGGCGTAGGTCCGACGCAGAAGTATAATGAGGCCTAAAGGCCTTAATTGTTAACATTAATTAATGTATTAACTAGTATTAACTAACATGAACTGCATTATTTATTAAGCTTTTTTAATTTTTCAGTCATTCACTGTTTGTTCATGTTAGTTCACAACTTTTGATTTAAATAATGCATTTGGGAGAACATTAACTAAGATTTATAAATGCTGTAAAAGAATTGTTCATGCCTCATGTCAACTAAAGTAGTTAAAGGGATAGTTCACCCAAAAATGAAAATTCTGTCAGTAATTACTCTCCCTCATGTTGTTCCAACCCCGTAAGACTTTCGTTCATCTTCGGAACAAAAATTAAGATATTTTTGATTAAATCTGAGAGCTGGATCACTCCTCCATAGGCTTCTAAGGGATTGAAACTTGCCAGCCCAGAAAACGTATTAAAAACATTGTTAAAATAGTCTGAGTGACTACAGTGGCTCAATCTTAAGTTTATCAAGCGACGAGAATACTTTTCGTGCGCAAAAAAACAAACAAAAATAACGACTTTATTCAACTATTCATTTTCGGCTGCTTACCTGGCATAAACTAATATAATTTATTTTACTGGACATTTTAAAGCTCATAACCATATTTTATTGTTACTTGAAGAACTTAGAGTGCAGTGTTATGTTGCATCATGCAGTATTTGTGCAGAAAAGTAAGAGTAAATGTCTGTTACCTCAATAAATGTAAGGTCATTCCTATTTTATTTGTGTACATTTTAATCATTAGCATTACAAGCACACTCTTTTTACGACTAAAATAACAGTAAGGGTAAAAAAAAAAACTGAATTCCCAAACATGGAAATGGAAAAAACGGAATTAGCAAAAATGAAAAAGGAAAAAACGGAATTTGGGAAAAAATAAAACAGATTTTCTAGGGCCATAATCAAGTATTCAGACAGACCATGGTATTATACACATATAGCAAAAACACAACTGACTTACAGGTGTCTTGGGACCTCCTCCGTTTCTCCCTTTCTCTTCTCCCTCCGTCTCGGTCACTTGACAGATGAAGCCATTTTTTAATAAATGTTTCAATTTCTTGATCAGTGGCCGCAGCTGTCAGTCTATTGGTTCTGACCGTTCCTAAAAATATATAACATTGTAAATGCAAGGATGGATTAGACAACTTTTAAAATCTTAGGACACAATTAGCAGGAAGACAAGCATTAGCCAAATGCATACTTTGCCAGTGCCACTCTAAATAACATTTTGGCCACGGACAAGGACACTTTTTGTTTCCGGATGCCCAAAAGGCACAAGTTTAACCTTTTTTTTTAGCAAACAAGGGTGACTAGGAACATGTAATTGTATAGATATGTTTTCTTGTTTCAGAGGAGTTTAAATATGAAGAAACACAAAGGCCAAATTCCCTTAATCATCCATCACTAGGGATGTCAACGATAATACAATTGCCGATAATACATTTAATCGATACAACTTATCGATCATTGATTAAGCAGGTTCATGCGCGTGCGTGCTGCTCAACCGCGAAAGCGTGCCGGAGTTATGTTTGGGACCATTTTACACTTTCATCAAGACTATTAGTTTGTGTGTGCATTCGCAGCCTTTTGTTTTGTGCAAATGTAAGTTGTAATATTGTTTATTTTGTGGATGCCTATCTATATCTGATTTATCTCATATTGGATGCATTTGGTTAAGAATTAACTCTATAGTAAAGCGTCAGCTTCAGCACGTGCAGCTCAAACGGCAGTGCACGACTAATAATGACTATTGGGACTGTAATATTACATAACATTATAAAGAGAACAATATTGTAATAAAACATTGTGAATTATTTGGGTTTACTGCCGTGTCGCGTTGCTCCAGGAAGAGCGCGTCCACAACATGAGTAGTTCTGAATGAATGGCACATAACTTAAAGTTCACTTGTGCATGCGTCATTTTGGGCAGATATAATTTGTAATATTATGTTTATTTTGAATATATATGATTAATCTCATATAGGATGCGTTTCTTGTAGATAAACAACGTGCTAGCAAAGTGCTCCAGTTTAATGGTAGCAGATTCATTCAGCGCGTGCAGTTGTTCCAGGAAGAGCTCGTCCACAACAGTCACACATTCTAAGCGCATATGAGGCGCGTTGGTGACACGTTGTATTAGTAGTTATTTTTGATTATTAAATAATTAATTTAATTATCAACCACATCAAAACATTTTACAATCCTACTAGCCCTTTAATTATATTTAAAACCCTTCTCATTGATTTGGTGAGGAACATAGCGTTTTGAGCAGCATTTGCAGACGCTGTCATGCTGTTGGCCATAGCCACTGCAGTAGATGCATATCGCACTATAAAGGCTAACAGATCAATCAATTAATTGATTGTTAATTTAAATTATGATCGATCATGGGAATTTGTGAAAATTGACATCCCTATCCATCACAATGAGTAAAACCAAAGAATATAATTCTGATGTGCAGCAAAAGATTGTTGAGCATCACAAAATAGAAACTGGCTGTAAGAAAATAGCTAAATTATTTGAAAATAATTCAGAAGTTTCAATCAATTAAAGATGTTACAAAAAATCTGCCAGGAAGAGGACATGTCTATATTTGTCTTAAATTAAGACAATATAGACACGGTGAGGAGGAAAGTTTGTAGGGCTGTCAACTTTAGTCGTTTAGTCGAGTAATCGGTCGATGCCGTCTTGGTCGACTGACATTCTTATTGGTCGACCGGTTTTTTTTTTTTTTTTTTTTTTTTTTTTTTTTTACCAATAGAAAGAAATTTTCAATGATTTACTCCTTGATTTGTATTCCTTTATAAGCAGTTATATATTACTGTATAATATAAATCTAAATATAATTAGCCTATGGTTTATCCCCAACTTTAAATGCTTTAATTTAGGCTATTTTGTAACAGCGCCACAGTTTAGCACACACACATAGAACACTCGGTGGCTGGCTGCGCTGCTGCTTCGTGCTCACTAAGGGATATAGGTAGTTTAGCTGTATTCATTCAGTTAGAACGCTACTTGTTTCGGTTTTATACACTATATGTTTTATCTCGATGCGGCGTGGACGCACTCGAAAAAAAAAAGAGCGCGTCGCACCGCGACCGCGTTGCTTCCATCATGAGCGCGCACACCACGCGCCTACATTTGAAATCGAACTTGAGCGCGCAAAAGACGTGAGCAGTCCCTTTAACGGCTTTATCATGCTGACTCAATAGATTGTGTTTTCTTGATATATTTTTGTTTTTATTTGTACACTTGAAGTATTTGAAAATAGCCTAAATAATGTAACAAAACGAAAATAAACCTATATGCGGTCCTACATTATTATTAGGATTGTTTTTTAGGCTCTCTGGGTTTTTTGTGTGTTTGTTTTAAAACGCCTAGATCGGCTGGACAAAAGTTAACCCATAGCTTTGAAAGTAAAGAAAAATATACAGCCTGTATAAACGAGAGCTTTTGTTAGGATGTTTCATTATGTGGCAGATAGCAGTTATATTTTTTGAGAGAAGGAAAGTGCACGCACGTTGTGGTAGGGATATTGTTAAGGTTTTAATGGTATTACCACTCTTACCGATACTGCTTATCGGTCCGGTACTTTAACAGTATTTTTATCTGTTCTTTTTGTTAACTATCTATAAATTACAGAAACGTTTGTCTGTCTGTTAACCACTTATCTCTTGAACCGTTAGTCCGGTGGATTTCAAACTTGACAGGTGTCTTAATCACACGACCACTAAACAGCGCTGTGAGATCCAGTGAGAAGCGCTTGAATTCAGCGAAGAACACAAATGTTTCAGTGATTTAAACCAGTTTAAAGGCAGATGAAACAGCGCTGACAAACAGGAGAAACACTGTGCGCAACGATACAGTCAGAAGGCTTTTCCGTACAAATTCTCATCATTTACCACGGATTTACTGTAATGTTAGCCTACTAATATTAACTGCACTATGAAATGTGAGATATATATATTTAATTGTATTCAGCAAGTAAACATCTGATCTGATAAACGCTGCGCTGCAGTTTGGACTTTGAGCCGAGCTAATAAATGTTCAGTGTGGCACGATTATCGATTTATCGAACATTATCGAACATTTATCAAACACTTGATATTGTTTTATTGAGAAAATTTATATTGCGATAATTTTCATTATCGTTTTATCGCCCAGACCTAACTGTAAAGTATACTTCTTTTTAGTAAGGGATGCATCAGGTAATATGGATTGCCTGTTGCATCAGTTTCTTATTGTATGAGAGCTCCATGTGTGGAGATGGACAGCTATGTTTGGGATTGTTTCCACAATAAAGCTTTTAGTGACAAACTGCTGGCTGTCATACCCGTGCATAAGTATGCATTTAAGTGTTTACTTTTTTTAATCAACCTTTTTTAATAATTACGTAATTTGAGCAAATATGCATCAAGCATGCAAGCAATAGAGAATGGACTTATTAGACTGAAGATGCAATGTACTGTAACACTTACCAGTAATGACATCTTTCAGCTGCAGTTTGTGGAAAGCTGTTTTGCCATTGATGCCACGCCAGTTAAGTTGTTTGCCAAGGGAGTTGGTAATACAGTGCCCCATAACCCGCCAAACGCTATCCTTAACATCGACTCCTCCAATGAAGCTCAATGCAGTAATCTAAAAAAGATCATTTAAAAAAACAGGGATAAATGTTTTATATAAACACTACTCACAGTTACCCAATTCAGAATAAAATAAAAAATACATAAAATCACTTCACACTTAGTTGGCATTTAGAACAATCTCTTTGTTGGATACTTGCTTTCTTAACCTGTTATCTACTGTAGGACTGTCAATCTATCACTGATGCAGTTCCATATTCAACTGAAAACATGAAGTTGCAGTGTCCTTGAGGTTTAAACACAAGATTTTACACCACAGTAAAACAAAACAAAAATATCAATAAAAAAAAAAAAAAAAAAAAAACGAGTTTAAAATATAAATTTTAGTTTTCCATGGTCTAATAAAGTGGAATATTAATATATTGTCTGATTAAAATTTAGTCAAATTGAATGTATGTTGGAGTAGTTTATGCAATAGTTGTAAGGCAAAGTGTTAGTTACCATTTTTTTTTTGAGGTCAGCCTCTTCCCTCAGACGTTTTTCCACAGCCAGCAGGGAGGTAAGATCTTTCAGCGGCAGTAAGTCTCTGTCGATGGGATCCTGCCCATGAGCAGGTTCGCCCATTTTCTGCATGTTCATCAGGATGACTTTTAGTTGATCCATCATCATTTCCTGATTTGTAAGAATTCTATGCAGAAGAGCTAAAAATAAAAGACAAACATGTGATTTATGCAATTTTGACAGATAATTAATTGTATTCACCTGTGAAAACAAATCTAGAAAGAGACATGAGGACTTATTTAATAAATCACTTACGAGCAAGACCACTTAAAGTAACTGTTCCCGACTGTTGTGCTTCAGAACTTCCCATAGACCGACTGGGTTCGGGGCTTTTTTCAGCACGCCAGGGCTCAGGACTTGTCATCTGCTTTGGGGTTTGAGGCTTATTTTGAACTCTTCTCTTTATTGCAGACTCAATTGCAAAGTTTGGTCCTGTTATCTTTGGGGCTGGAGGCAACGATCCTGTTTGTTTGACCAAATCTTCGTCGTCACTCTCAAAACGAATGTTTGGTCTTGTCAGGGGGCACAGAAAATAAAATCAAAGTTTATTTTAATCAATTTCAAAGATCAGTCTCAGTCTAGTCTGGTAGTGTCTCAAATTTCTGCTGTTCCTGTTCCTCCCTGCCTGCCCTGTTTATCGCTTCTGTCACCACTATCTCCTAGTTGCCCAACTGTTTCCCTTAAGAATCGTCAATGTTTTGTGTTCCTGCCTTTATCTGCCCAGCTGTACCCTTTTTTAGATTTAAGCTTGTATTTAAAGCCAATGTCCAAGGTTTCCCTAAGCATATATTACAAGCATATTACCCCCCAACCAATCTAAACATTTAGCAGAAATGTTAATGCACTAACAAATCTAAGATCTCTTTAAGTAGTGACACGTCATCATGGTCAGAGTTTGAGGCCGAACATGTAATAATGTTAGGAAAATAATCAAAATGTGTGTTTTTGTTTTGTTTTTTACTAATAATGCGATTTAATTGACTATTTTTAAGCTCTTTATCTTCTGTATTATTCAACAAAGACAAGCAATAAATCATTGTATAATATGGCTGGAAACTGGGAATCTTTAGTCACCTCATGATCATGATTAAGTCACCTCAAAAAATGTTTTTGATGGAATTACATACTGTATGTATTTATAAAAACTTTTTTTTTTTTTAAATAATGACACTTTAAAAAATAAGTTTTACACTTTAAATTACACTTTTTAAATGTAGCTTATATAAACGAATATAGCTTCAAAACATAAACATAAAAGCAAGTAAATATTAAATAGGAACAAAAACATATTACAAGCAATAAACATCTTTTTTTTTTATGCCTACAGCAATAGTAGTAGAATGGCACTTTAATACTTACAGCCTTTTTCGCTTTTTCTTCGGAATTTCGTCCACAGCTTCTTCCTCTGCTGTCTGAAGGTCGGTTTGTGTTTCCGCTTGAGGAAGTTTCAGACGAGCAGCTTTGTAGGTTGCTGTAAAGAAATATCATTAGATCTTTTTTTTAACAAGTGAAGCCTATTGGTAAATAATAATATGTCCATACCAGCTTTATATAAAATTCTAACAGAATATGCGTCCCACATGTTTCCAGGTTGCTCCTCACTTCTTATGGCCTTTACTAATTCATCACGTCTGTATTGAGCAGGCCATTGACATATTTCTTCTTCAACCCAAAGTGCTGGTACCACTTCAACTTCTTGGGTTTCTAGAAACTCTACAATGTAAAACATGACCTAGAACAGAAAGAGGCACAAAGTAACTAACATTAAGAGTATGCACTTATAACTTTTGGACTTTTTTAATTTAAACAAATGAACATAATTAGAAACCATTTTTTTTTATGATAATCATAATAAGGGCTTTAAAAGGTGAATGATGATTTAAGTGCACATAAATGTCCTTATTAACACATGTTTCAGAACCAATGCAAGTTATTAGAAGTATAAATATGGTACACACCTACTGAGATAAACCAAGGCAGGCTGGACTCTGTCACTGCTGTCTAATTGTGATGCCAGTCTGCACATAAATTCATTTTGAAAAAGATTGGACTATCTAAAATTCAGCTTTAAAGTCTACCAAAACACCACGCTATGAATGACATTTAGGATGGGTCTGCATGAAGAAGTGGAATGACAACAAATCCAACCTCCACAGGCAACCGGACACACTTCTGCATTTTGGCATCTAATGTTAAGCACATCAGCTTTGGTGACAGATCTGACACAAAACAAATTCCCAAATCAGTGGACACAATGGGATAATCAAAGAACTTTGCAATGTGTCTATATTCTTTGCAGACAATATATTCCTCATTTTCAAAGACAATTATATTCTGAACCAATAGTATCTTATTGTTCATTTTTATACATCTGTCCCTCTCTGATGTGTTGATGACAAACTCATCTATCGACAGTTCCTTAAATTGGGAGACCGCTCCTGTGAATCCTTCTGGAACAGGTCCATCTGAGTGCAGCATTTTCAATTTTTTGTGAGCTTTCTGGGTTTCCTCATCATTTAAACTTGTTGAATCAAGTTCTGAAATTCTGCGTATAACTTGCTGTAGTGGAGAGCTAGGTTTTCTAACCATTCCTTTAATTTTTTTTAAGTAGTTTTCAAAAGGAAACCCTGATATTAAATCTAAGTGGCCATGCACCTTCACATCATCACTGAGATGAGTTAGACCATGTATGTTGTACACTACAAAACAGTGACCATAGAGTTCACCAAAATGCTTAACAAATGATCTAAGTAGTGTGTTTGCAAAGTCATTTAACAGCAAACAATATGTTGGACTTGCCAAGATATATATGCCCACAGACAACAACATAAAATTTTGGTAAACCTCAGTAGTCAGCACATCCCTCAAAACTACTGGACCAGTGTAAAGTAAGAACTGCCTAAGTTCTGTTGCTTTCCATCGTAACCTTTCATCAAGTGCCCTTGGTCTTCTAGCAAATTCAGAGGGTATGTAACTCTTGAGAGCAAGCAGTTTGCCAGAAATGATAGACACTTGCCTGGATGAAATACGGTAACTCAACTTGCCGCGAGTTCCCATCCACAAATCAAGCAGACGACGCACCACGCCTAAGCACACTAAATGCATATAGTCATGTGGAAATCCACTAACCATGGGAACAGATGTTTCACAAAATGGGGAATGTTGTACATGGTGGTCTTCATCCTCTGCATTTGAAAATGAAACATTGGTTCTTACCCTAGAATTAAGTTCTGGGAATGTCATGCGATTATTAATGTAAATGCCAGACTGTACACATTTATCGCAGCCACTGTATCCATTGTGTGACTTAATACCCTTAATAAAAGCCCTTGCAGGAGCATCACAGATTACCGAGCACACATTCAAGAAGAAGGTCTTTCCATTAACAACAAAACCAGTGCTCAAGGATTTCAACTCACAGACCAGATCCTTCAGATATTCTGACAATGACTGAGGCTTCGAGTTCCCACAGTAAAGAGCAATCAGCACAGGTTTCCTAGTGTAAGCCTGGAGCATTCCTAAAATTGGCCAGAACTGTACACCTGAACTTTTAAAAATTGGAAGACCATCCATGTTTAATTGTAATTTGAAGCTGTGATGATTCCGGACAACTAATGTAAGCTTCTGAAATATGTGGCTGAACATTTTCTGTATACCAAAGTAATGGAATGATCCACTCGCCAAGGAAACAACACTATAATGAGTCTGTGTTTTGAGTAATGTTCTTGCATCTTTTGGCAAAGATGGGTGATGGACTTTCAGTATCGACAAAAGGGCAGACAAAGCAATCAATGAAATGCGAAAATGTGTTGCCCAGTCTCTCAAACATCCTACTAGATCTTCTTTAGTAATATCAAGGCTATCCTCGTCACTTGCTGATTCACTTTCCCCATCACTTTCTGATCCACAGATTGGTGGCAAAACAAAGCTTGAAGTAACTACTTCATTTTCAACACTATGCTCTTCATTAGTACAATCCATACTATCCTCATCATTCAAAGATTTCATAAACTGGGTGACTCTTTTAACAGCCCTTTTCCTTAAATTGCTGCGAGTGATATTCCACTTTTCTCTCTCCATGACACAGTAATTACACCTACAATTACACGAAGTGCAGTCATTAATGAGGTACGCTGAAAAAAGAAAAGAAAAAAAAAAACATTTTTTACATTGATACTTTTTTATTTTGTACCACATGAAATGTATCAGCAGCTTACCTTAATGGTGACAGTGAATTCTAAACTGTAGGCTTTTATTCCCACCAGCAGTTTTCTGTAGCAAATCACATTGACATGTGTTATTAAGGTGAAAAACATCCTGACTCAAAACAGTAAATAAAAAAATAAAACAAAGCAGACAAACTAATTTTAAAATGACTAGGGTATACTAAAAATGTGAAATACAGAATACCTGAACCAACTTGCTCAATAATATCTATTAGGCTATTATTACTTTGTAATCATCTCATAAAAGCTTTTATTGTAATAAAAAGCATGTAGTAATTTGTGCATTATTGTAGTTAACGAAAAATGCTTTCACAAAGTAATACAACTAGTGCAGTTACTGCAGTATTACTGTATGCCCAATGTAAACATGCATGAAATATTACACTAGGCTATATACATTTTTCATCGTTGTGCCAAAATAAGCAAGAGTTAAATACTTTCACCGTGCAGAACCGACTGAAGATTGGCAAGATGAGCAAATATAAATATATTGGCGCGCCCGTTCAATCGATTCATTTCGCATTCGAGAACCATACTAGATCTAGCTTAGAGTTATACTGCCAAAATTATGTTACTTCGAAATTAGAAGTTATTCCATTAACTCACACAACATGGATATAACGAAGCAATCGCCTAGAAAATATAAATGTATCGATTATATCTTACCTTGATTGTTTGCAGATTTCGTCCTCCCTCCAACTGACAATCCTCTGGCCTTTTGGTTTCGAGCTCCTTTTTCGCGCTTTACAGCTACGTTTAAATTTAAAGGCCCGAATCGTCGGTTTGATTTTTTTCAACCTCTAACTGACTTTGGTTTCGAGCGCCTTTTTCACGCTTTACAGCTACGTTTAAATTTAAAGGCCCGAATCGTCCGTTTGATTTTTTTTTTTCAAAGACAACTTCACATGCAGTAAATATTTTGTTATAATAAGTAAGCTGAAACAAAAAAAAATGAAAAAGTTAATTATCAAAATAATAATATTTTCTCACAAGAGCTTCACTAATTTGTCGTTCATTTAATTATATTTCATAAATTATAATGTTAAAATTATATATTTTTTTATCTTTAAGAAAGATAATGTATAGCCTAAAATGACAGTTGCATAAATGTTAATTATATTAAGCCAAAAATGTAATAAAATTAAATGTTTATTTATTTATTTAAAATGTTTATTTAAAATATTACAATATTTTTTTATATTTTCAATATTTTCAATATTTTAATTTTTTCATTTGATTATAGCTATTTTAAATATTTGAATATTTTAAGGGGGTTTCAAATATTACCCTTTGTGGGGTCACACGAACAGTGAATCACAACCTTTTTGACCTATTCTCCACTACAAATCCAGTGCGTTTGTTATAAAAATAGCCAAAGTAGGCTACAACATGTTCCTGGCTCAACATCTTTCTTGATCCAACAGCATTCATATCGACAAATTAGAATTGAAGTTTGAAGTTATGCGAAGTTAAGGCTTTCAACCATGCTTCTATCAGTGTTATTATAATGTCCCTCTGATTGTAGGGTTAGGGTTAGGGTTAGAGTTAGGACTATTTTTATGAACCGGAATGATGTTCCTAGATCAACAAAAATATGTTGATACAGGGACATGTACTTGGCAAAATCATTGTGCCCCTAGCTTTGCACAAATAGCAACTAAATATCTTCTTGCACATCCCAAAACCATAAAAAAACCTCTTCATAAGTTTGAACTTAGACACTTGAACTTTTCTAAACACTCTACCTACAAAACATATGTGAGCACAATGTCATAACATGTGGCCTCACATCCAGCCTTAGGCCATGTGTCTACCAAAGCGTTTTTAGCCAGCTGAAAATGCTATGGCAATCTGAAAAGGCCTAGCTGTGAGCGATTGTGTTTTGGCAGTGCAGCGTTTTTGTTGTTGTTGTTGTTGTTGTTTTGTTGAGATGCTTTGTTGCTATACAGAATATCTGTGGCACAGTTTACTTGTAACTGATTTCCCTGATAATTTGTATAATACTAAAAATGTTTGTATAGTACGGATGTCATATAGACACGTATGTTCGGAGACCAGAAATATTATTTTTCCATCTACTCTATTTGATGTTGTACAGAAAGAATGTTGTGACAGTTGGTCAGTGTGGTATGTGTGGTCCATTGTGATTGGACGGTCTGGTAGAAAGTGACAGTGATGAGCGTTTTAACCAAAGTTTAACATTCTTTAACTCTCGCCGATCTGTAAAAAATGCTGAGTGGTCAGCGCTTTATAGCCAGATAAATTTTTTTTAAAAACGCTCAGCACCTCGTCACACTCATGGCGTTTTAAAAACGCGGCACTCCCATTGAAAACAATTGAATAAACACACCAGTCACGTGAAAAAAAAATGCATTGGTGTACACGAGACACAGCCTGTGTCTGCTGCATCTATACCAAAAAATATTGTTAAATGTTGTTAAAAAAAATTTCAAGGCATTTTCAAAGTCTGTCCTTTTAAGCTAAATTAGTCATTGTCAGAAGTGTTGATAAGCCAGACTTGTCACGTAGGTTTACATTTTTGGGGGGCATATTTTGATTCGAATGTGGGCCAAGTTAGACTTACACCCTGATTAGCCAATGCTGACTGTGCCATATATTTTCTAAATGTGGTACAAATTGTTATGAATTATATGGGCCATATTTGCCATGTCATATGGGTGGCACTTTCGGCTCACACCCAGATGAGGCAGTGCCACTGTACCATATCTTTGCCAAAACTGGCCCAAATACATTTTAAGATAACTGGGCCTCATTTGCAGCATTATATGTGGGCCACTTTTGGCTCACATCTAGATGACCCAGTGCCACTGTGCCATATATTTGCCAAACCTGGCCCAAATATGTTTTAAGATAACTGGGCCACATTTGCAACATTATATGTGGGCCACTTTTGGCTCACATCCAGATGAGCCAGTGCTCGATGAGCTATATCTTTGCCAAACGTGGCCCAGATGTGTTATAAGATAACTGGGCCACATTTTCAACATTATATGAGGGCCACTTTTGGCTCACATCCAGATGAGCCAGTGGTCACTGAGCCATATCTTTGTCAAACCTGGCCCAGATGTGTTATAAGATAATTGGGTCACATTTGCCACATTATATGTGGGCCACTTTTGGCTCACATCCAGATGAGCCAGTGGTCACTCAGCCATATATTTGCCAAACCTGGCCCAGATATGTTTTGAGATAACTGGGCCACATTTGCAACATTATATGTGGGCCACTTTTGGCTTACATCCAGATGAGCCAGTACTCGATGAGCCATTTCTTTGTCAAACGTGGCCCAGATGTGTTATAAGATAACTGAGCCACATTTTCAACATTATATGTGGGCCACTTTTGGCTCACATCCAGATGGCCCAGTGGTCACTGAGCCATATCTTTGCCAAACCTAGCCCAGATGTGTTATAAGATAATTGGGTCACATTTGCCACATTATATGTGGGCCACTTTTGGCTCACATCCAGATGAGCCAGTGGTCACTCGGCCATATATTTGCCAAACCTGGCCCAGATATGTTTTGAGATAACTGGGCCACATTTGCAACATTATATGTGGGCCACTTTTGGCTTACATCCAGATGAGCCAGTACTCGATGAGCCATATCTTTGTCAAACGTGGCCCAGATGTGTTATAAGATAACTGAGCCACATTTTCAAAATTATATGTGGGCCACTTTTGGCTCACATCCAGATGAGCCATTGGTCACTGAGCCATATATTTGCCAAACCTGGCCCAGATGTGTTATAAGATATCTGGGCCACATTTGCAACATTATATGTGGGCCACTTTTGGCTCACTTCAAGATGAGCCAGTGGTTACTGAGCCATATATTTTCCAAACCTGGCCCAGATGTGTTATAAGATAACTGGGCCACACTTGCAACATTATATATGGGCCACTTTTGGCTCACTTCGAGGTGAGCCAGTGCCACTGTGCCAAATCTTTGCCAAAACTGGCCCAGATGTGTTATAAGATAACTGGGCCACATTTGCAACATTATATGTGGGCCACTTTTGGCTCACATCCAGATGAGCCAGTGGTCACTGAGCCATATCTTTGCCAAACCTGGCCCAGATGTGTTATAAGATAACTGGGCCACATTTTAAGGATTATTTGTCGGCCACTTTTGGCTCACATCCAGATGAGCCAATGGTCACTTAGCCATATCTTTGCCAAACCTGGCCCAGATGTGTTATAAGATAATTGGGCCACATTTTCCACATTATATGTGGGCCACTTTTGGCTCACATCCAGATGAGCCAGTGGTCACTTAGCCATATCTTTGCCAAACCTGGCCCAGATGTGTTATAAGATAACTGGGCCACATTTGCAGCATTATATGTGGGCCACTTTTGGCTCACATCCAGATGAGCCAATGGTCACTTAGCCATATCTTTGCCAAACCTGGCCCAGATGTGTTATAAGATAATTGGGCCACATTTTCCACATTATATGTGGGCCACTTTTGGCTCACATCCAGATGAGCCAGTGGTCACTTAGCCATATCTTTGCCAAACCTGGCCCAGATGTGTTATAAGATAACTGGGCCACATTTGCAGCATTATATGTGGGCCACTTTTGGCTCACATCCAGATGAGCCAGTGGTCACTTAGCCATATCTTTGCCAAACCTGGCCCAGATGTTTTATAAGATAACTGGGCCACATTTGCAGCATTATATGTGGGACACTTTTGTTTCACATCCAGATGAGCTAGTGCTCACTGAGCCATATATTTGCCAAACCTGGCCCAGATGTGTTATAAGATAATTGGGCCACATTTGCAACATTATATGTGGGCCACTTTTGGCTCACATCCAGATGAGCCAGTAGTCCCTGAGCCATATCTTTGCCAAACCTGGCCCAGATGTGTTATAAGATAACTGGGCCACATTTTTAGGATTATATGTGGGCCACTTTTGGCTCACATCAAGATGAGCCAGTGCCACTGTGCCATATCTTTGCCAAAACTGGCCCAGATATGTTTTAAGATAACTGGGCCACATTTTTAGGATTATATGTGGGCCACTTTTGGCTCACATCCAGATGAGCCAGTGCCACTGTGCCATATCTTTGCCAAAACTGGCCCAGATATGTTTTAAATAACTGGGCCACATTTGCAACATTATATGTGGGCCACTTTTGGCTCACATATAGATGATTCAGTGACACTGAGCCATATCTTTGCCAAACCTGGCCCATATATGTTTTAAGATAAGTGGGCCACATTTGCTGAAACATATGTGGGCCATATTTGGTTTACATACAGATTAGTCATTGTCAATTGTGCCACGTTTTTGCCATAGGTGGCCCATATTTGGTTTGTCATATTTGGGCCATATTTGTTATCTATCACATGGGCCACTTTAGGCTAAGATTCAGATTACACATTGCCATGAGTGCCGCATCTTTGCCTAAAATGGCCCACATGTGATTTACATTTTTTGGCCCATATTTGCCATTTTACATGTGGGCCACTTTAGGCTCAGACACATTTGGTCCGGGCCATAAGAAGGCCACCAGTGCCGAATCATTGCCTGAAGTGGCCCACATCCGTCTGCTATCTGGGTAATTGAATCTATGTAGAAGAAGAGAGAAGAAACAGGCAACTCAAGGGTGGAATAAAAACATACTAAAACTGTAGTAGTGATGGGTTGTAATTCATTTTTTATATATATATCTTCTTGACAAATTACTCAGGTGTGAAGTAAGAGAGGGATTTGACCTTACTATGGGGGAAGTAATATTTTCTGAAAATATGTTTAAAGGCATGCATGCGCACATACATTTGATTAATAGAACATAAAGCTGTTTTATTTTACATGGAGCAGATCGCCACATGGGGGCTCAACATGTAGTATACATGCTGCTTGATTTTGAGGCATTTTCCAGGTTCCACATAATGTGATGTGACATTCAACTTTGAAGCTTGTGCCAAAAAAAGTTCAATGTTCAAACTCCTCCACTCTTTTGACCGTTGTGCCGTGTCTTACTGTTTTGTTTTAACGTCTTGTGCATGAGCGCCGTGTTTTTAAAACGTACCAAATTAAAAGGGGTTCAACTTAAAACTTGTCTCGATACCCTGCCTTTTGTATTAATTAGTGCTGTGGCTCTGCAGTTGGAAAATATTGGATGGAAATGCGTTTTAGTAAAAGTTTTTTTTTAAGTTTTTTTTAAAGTCGACTGTTAGTTATAAAGGTGCTGGGGTGTCATGGTATGATTTGCATGCTAATTTTATATTTATTTACTAACTTAAAAAAAAAATTATACTGCGCTCTTGGCTTCATTAAAAAAACCCTCTAAATTATAAGCAAAGCTTTAATCACCATATATCCTCCTGTAAAACCAGAAAAAAAGGTTTTTTGAATTTAGTATTTTTTCATGACATTAGCCTACATTGAAATATGTCATAAACTTTGTATAAAGATAATTCTCCACTGTTATATAACATAATTAGGCTAATTGATTTACCATTTCACTTTATATGCAATATGTGGGTAAAATGGCCATAAATGGGAAGTCCTATTCAATACAATGGCTCTATACACTGTATCTAATTTGCATATTAATGTGTTCTTGGGGCAACATGTAATAAAATAAGATGTGTAATAATAGGAGTAATAATTGGCAACATTTTCGTAATAATATCTAATATTTCATAGGAATATTGATATATATTTTTTTCCCTTCACTTGTTGTGTCACCCAAAATGCCTGATAAACATGTTTTAAGTCCTGGTGTCCTCTACATATTTTGATTAGAAACCACATTTTCCTGAGATGTTGCATTATGAAAAACAATTTGAAAATTAGTCATTTAAATGCTAATTATAAAATATTATAATTTCCCATACATTTGGCCTCCAAACATTTGGTATCTCTAAAAGAAACTGTGACATATGATGCCAGAGAAATTCACTAAAATATAATGTCCAATACAGTGGACAAAAGTCTTTTCCTGGAGGATATGTTTTCAAACTCCTATAGAAGACTATAGAAAAAATAATAATAAATCTCGCAAGGTGCTTATTCCTTATTAAGTCCAGCGGTGGCGCACCGCATTTTTGTAGATGAGTGTGGTATTCGGGGTGGAGGGGAAGCTTCAAAAATACTAACAATTTGACGACGGTGATGATGATCATACAGAAAATGATCACGTGTGGAAAAACTGGATGTTTGTTTAAATGATCGCAATTTATAGCCTCCAACTGGAAGGGAGGGGAGAGTAAAAACTTCCATGAAAAGCAGCAGTCTCTTATTTTCTGGATCAAGCAGGAGGGACGGATCATGGAGGGACCCCCTCATGTTGACAAGTACATAGTCATCTTTAAGTATTCCAGACTCCACAAGAGACACTTTATGCAGACATATACAGTTATTCCATGAAGTGTGGTGCGTCCAACAGGAAATGTCGAGTGTTTGTCACTGTAAAGTTTTCTTTTCTTCCTTAACCGTGACACAACCCGTTCGAACATTCATTGATTGTAAATCGTTTTGCGCGCTCGGTTGTTTAACAGTGTTGATGGTGCATGGAATGCTTTAATGTCTCACAGTAACAGTGAACTTTAATTTCTCCTATCTTTCAGCTGGTGAAAGCTGGGCAAGAATCTCTACCTCACCGGGAGAGCAACTGCTGTAGCGTTTCCTATTCATCATCATCCTCCTCAGCAGCAGCAGCATCATCATCAGCATCATCATCGTCAGTGCGAGCGGCACGCATCTCACTTGCTCCACATCCTCGGGGCCACGAGAGCGCCAGGGCGCAAAGATGAACATCCAAGTCCTGCCTGAGCACAAACTGTCCTCAGTGGCCCCGTTGAAACAGTTTAACGTGGAGAAAAAGGAAGTGGAGCTGATCCTGGTGAAGGAGCAGAACGGGGTCCAGTACACGAACTCCTCTGTCGTGGCCTCTCCGAGCTCCCACGGCTGCACCCCCGGCTCCGGTGAGGATGTGGAAAGGGAGACATGGGGCAAGAAACTGGACTTTCTACTCTCAGTCATAGGCTTTGCTGTGGACTTGGCCAATGTCTGGAGGTTCCCCTACCTGTGTTACAAAAATGGAGGAGGTAAGATTTAGCCTATTTATTTTGAGGGTCACCCTTTACTTTGCTTTTACACACGGGCTAATTATGCGTTATACGTAATAAACTACAATTTCGTGGAGCAGCTTTCAAACTCTTAGCTATTGCCTTTGAAATTCATTCGAATTGCAGATTTGTAGAACAGACACACTGTGTCTCAAACTGTTTCTAAAACACATGTGTTTCAGAAATAGATTTGAGTTAAATAAATGTATTGCTGTTCTGATGAGTAAGAGGATCTTAAAATAAATGAAAAATGCTATTAAAATGCTTGTCAAATCTGTCCATTTGTTAACTGTTGTCTTAACATGTTTTTTTAAAAGATTAAACCTTTTACTTTTGAAAGTTTTTACATTTTCAGAAAAAGTATGAATCACCCCAAAATTTATGGAGAATATCTTTTACATATTTTTATTGTATTTACATTTAACAAAGCAATACATATACTTTTAAACTATAAATGTTAGGTTGGTATATCAACATAATATTATTTAATTACACATTAATAACATATGCAGTCACCGAAATATCGTCCTAGAATGCTTGTAACAGCATCTCTGAAATTTTAAGGTGAAGTTAACTACAGCTGCCATCTTTTACTGTGAATGTAACCTTTTTTTTAAGTGAAACAAATAAAAAAGAAGCGTTTTTTTTTTTAGTGTTTGTTGTTAAGACGTGAAAAAAACTTGCTAGGCACAAGAGGTTTTGACCAATGATACTTGAAAAAAGCTAATTTCATGATGCCAATCTATTCCAATCATTATTACTAAAAATCATTCGGGATTATGAACCAGTTGTTTCTCTGAACAACCTGCCAGCACTTTGTGCTGGAACTAGATGTCTCAATGTCAGCAAACTCATTAACTACTAGTGGGCTATTGTTTAACAGTTTTGTTATCTTTTATAATTTATGAGTAACTAATTATATTTTCTCACTCTTTAGGCATGTAGGTACTAGGTAAGGTTTGAGACTTTTGCAAAAGTGTATTCATTTAAATGCATCATGACAATCACTGGCCTTTTAGTAAAATAAACAAAATATTTCCTTGTGTGTGATAAACAAAGCACCAATTATAATATTAAATCTATAATGAACTGTAAAAGGTTCAACCAGGCAAAGTTGTAAAATCCGTGATAGGTGCTCTTGGGGTAGGGAAAAGATCCAAAGAAACGAAAAGCAGGTCCCAGGCACTCAATCAAGTTTTCAATGAGGAGAAGGATACAGTTAAAAAGCCTTTATTTAGTATGGCTTAAATAATTTTAAAAGTACACGAGCCAACATGTTTCGACCAACAAGTGGTCTTCTTCAGGGCAAAGTAACACAAAATATGAGAATGACTTAATGATTAAAACTATCATTTTGAAACCGGCTTCAGCAAAGACAAATAGAGCAGGGTAGATTGCTAACATCTCTGATTTTGAAAACATCATGGGTCAGGGGTCAGACAGCTTCATGGGAAGGTAATTTGTGACATGATACAATTCACCTCTAATGTAATGGCCACACCATGAATCATTTTTCCCATCTGAATATATATTATAATAGCCTACAAACTACGCAAAGTCAGAGTTAAGAACTGATTATATCAAACTGGCTCTAAATCCACTGTAGATTGACCATTCACTACATAAGCAGCTATGACAAATGTCTATTGTTCAGTTGTCATTTATTCTTTGGCCATCTGTGGAATTCTGTCAGCAATCAAATGTTAAATTCGATAATGTGTCCCCCAGGTGCCTTTTTGATCCCATACATTCTGTTCCTGTTTATTGCTGGGATGCCTCTGTTTTACATGGAACTTGCCCTTGGCCAGTATAACAGAGAGGGAGCAGCCACTGTTTGGAAGATCTGCCCTGTATTTAAAGGTACGTTGAAAATTTGTAAACAAAAGATGTTGAGATGAAATGTACCATGTTCTCAAAACACTGTGAGTTGCAACACATATAGCTCCTTCACTACCCAATAAACGGCAAAACAAATGTTCTAAAATAGTTTTTTGGATGTTTCATTTTCACACTGACCTGGCGGGTTAACTCACTGATCCAACAAAAGCCAACAACTGTTTGTTGGGTCAGTGAACTAGATTATGAAGTGGCTCTGATGTGACTAATGTCAATGCACACACTTTAAACTTAATGTATTTAAGCAAACAGAGGCCTGAAACAGATAAAGCAAAACTTTAGCCCATATACTAACAAAATATTTGTGACTTTCCTCCTCAGGCGTGGGCTACACTGTGATCGTCATAGCATTGTATGTGGGCTTTTACTACAACGTCATCATAGCCTGGTCTCTGTATTACTTATTTGCTTCATTGACGAGTGAGCTGCCCTGGCTCAATTGTGATAACCCGTGGAACAGCCCCAACTGCACAAATCTAAAGCTGCTCAATGCCACCTTCTTGGGTAATGGAACCTCCTATGCCAAGTACAAGAACACACCGGCTGCAGAGTTCTACGAGTGAGTCCAAAAATCTTTTGCTCTGTAGCTTTGCAGTTGTAATTTAGTTGTGTATTATTGCACAAGCTTATTTACAGTAGCATGAAAGCAAACAAAGTTTTAGGTGTGAAGCAATGTCAGTTAAAAGAATTTAGGCAGACAGTTGATAGGCTCACTGTTTAAACGACAGCAGTCAGCTTGAGATTTGTTCAAAAGTACGAGTACCATGCTTATTAAACAACTCTTTTATTTTGTTTTGTCAGGTGTTCCAAACATATTAAAACAAGTACATGAAACATCTTCACTAACAAAATCAGTTATGAGTGATATACCTGTTTCACTAGTCAGGTGTTTCCTTATGCTTCACAATATCTGTGATGTTTTCCGACATTGTTCCAATTTGTCATGATGTACCAGTTGCTTGCCGCTTCCTATGGAGTCTTGCTGATAAAGCTTGTAATGGAGCTATAACTCACCAATTGGCTATCGCTGTTCGGGATTTATTTTCTATCCATTCTTTCATTCCGTTAAGCATGTAATGTTTTGCAGGGCTGGCACAAGCATGACACATATGCACAGTATTGGCTGCGTAGCTGTGTGCGTGTCTGGTGAGATCATGAAAACATTCTTATAGATATGGATGATATCTTTTAGATCGGACAGGAAAAGATGAAAAACACATTTCAAACCTGTGCTGTGTCTGTGTCTCTGTCTCTGTCAGGCTGTGTTGAAGGGTTTTGGGCTGTAATTAATCATTACTGCTAGTCAGGGCCTGATTTACCTCATATTGTGGCATAGGCAAAATACATTTTGGGCCACTATATTCCAAGTTGATATTGTGGCTTTATATTTAGTCAAACACTTGCATGTGTTATTATATTATAAACATTTAACCAAAATCAAGCTTAAATGTTTCAAAGTCTCAAAGAGTTTTAAAGTTTTTGATCAACGAATGTTTTGTCCATCATTAGAAGTTCCGCACCTGAGGCAATAAGTGCATCGCATTACGTTTTCATCAACTTACAACTTAATAATTTGTATGTACTATGTACTTATTCAAAGAATCAGTTCTTTACCCTTGCATTGCAAACAAGCAGAGACGGTTCAAACTGCGTGCAGCACTTCATTCACGATATAGGTCGGGTGGAGTTATGAGTTTTCATTGACAGTTTGAGGATCCAAGGGGATATGAGGTTTAGTCTGAAGCTCTTTTTAATACTTTTCATTGGTTAATTTTTTTCAAAATCTACAGACAGACGTAAAATATGACCAATAGTAATGATTTAGGCAACAACAAAAAAATGACGAAATATGGAGATACAAGGTTTCTGCCCGATATTTAAAATTATCTAGATGTTGTCTTATAGAGTCTCCACATAGTCATATGCCTAGAAGGCATAAATCCGGCCCTTCTACTATGTAGTTGAATGAGGAGTCAGCTATGAAAGAGACTAAACCGGTGAGGTGTATTAGAAGACAGGTTGATTTCCGGCCATTCTAGCAGCTATCATAATTTTTTGGCTAGATGAGAATTCTTATCCTTGCTGATGGAAATTTTTTAAGCAGTTGTTATAATTTCTTCTAGAACAGTGAAGCTACAAAACCTGTTTTGTTTTTTTCTCAGACATGAGATGCATATGTATCAGAGGGCAGCCATTTGGAAAAGTTTGTTGCTTTAGTGATCATGGAGGAATGCAAAGATAAATGTTTTCAGTCTGCATTTATTCAGTAATATTGCCACATTTCAGAGTTATTTCAACTTAGAAAGCCTTTGAGGAAATAAATCTGGGAACTGAGCATTCATGAGATCTTTCATCTTTAAATGGAAAGTTCAACTACAAATGAAAATTGTCATCATTTACTCACTCTCATTACAAACCTGTATGACTTATGATCATCCAGGTATATTGAACCTTGTTGCTGCTCATGAGTAGAACACAGGCACAATAGTCTGATCGGATGTGAAAACTCTGGCCTAAAAGTGCTCAAAATTAGGTCAGTATCACTGAAACTTTTATGCAGCGCTCGAAACTCTGAAAATCCTGTCTACAATCTATGACATGTACAGGGCTATAACACTCTTGATGTAGACTGAAAGAAAGGCAGGCACTTGCACTTCAAAGAAAAGCAGTCCTTTTCCGTGTCTAAGGGAGAATTTGGCTCCTTGTGTTAGGGGAAACCAGAAGAATGCATGGAACAATGAAGAACCCACATCACTCGCACAAAATCAAAGACACGTCATCAGATTCTAGTGAGGGTCACTGTGTGTTCATTCCTTCAATTAAAATCTGATGCATGTTTGTATATTCATTAATTCTTAACAGGTAGACTGTCTCTGATGCACATTAAGTGTGAAAATTAGGTTTCATTTAAATTAGCTTAAAATGTTTTGCTATTTTATAATGTTTTCCAGAAAGTATCCTGGATAAGGATAACAAATTTGATTTGGCCTGATATGACACTGCTTCATAGTGTGGATGTTCATCTACTGTACTGTATATATATATATATATATATATACATATATTTTAATATATAATTTATTGTAATTCTTCGAACCCTCAACTTGTTTCCTCCTTGTTTCTTCTACTTCTTTTCCTGTCTTTCCTGGTGATCTACCACTTCTTGTACTTATTGCTCGTCTTGTTCTCAGTCTGTTTTTCTCACTTTCTCCTGCTCCTGTGCTCTTACCCTCTTTTGGACTGGTTTCCCACCCAGCAGTGCTTTGAAGTGTCATTTCCCCAGCTGTCTTCTGCATGTGAGGGGATGTGGAAAGCTGTCATTTCCTCCGCTCTTCCCCCTCATGCCGCTCCATTATAATAGTTTTTGGCCACCAGTAATCCTGCCATCATGGAACAGCACACAGGGCACTAGAGAATATTCATTACCGTCACAGATACAGCAGACTCACATGCTCAGCAGGTGTGCCATAAACTAAATATTAGATTAAGCAGTGTTTTGCTCAGAATAGCTACAAACCAATCACAGAAAAAGCTGTTGAACCAGTAGCTATCAATCCGGACGCCCCAGATAAAACCCAGTCAAATTCATTGGTCTTACACAAACCCTCATGCTACACATCTTTCTAAAACAACCGACAACCAGACAAAAGCAAAATATGACAAGCTCAACAAAGCGAATTTCAGCATCTTGTGCGCCACCCACATATCCTTTCACTATGCTGTCTCTGCCGATCTTGACATGTTCGAGTCAATCACTGTTTGTTGAGAATAATGAACCGTTACTGCTCCATTGTATTGTTTTACACAGCGGGTGTCCTAAATCTAATTATTCCGTCATTACTGAAATCTTGTCTTATCACACACAGTCTCAGATTTAACACCCGACTGATGTCATGAAGACAGAAATGTGGATTTTGAGGAAAACATATAATCATTTGGAAAGCCAAGACAGAGATTTGTAAAATACTTATTGTGCCTTTAAATAAGAATCAATAAAAATAAATAAAATAATAAGCAAGCTCATAATAATGAACTTTTAGAATATAGGTTCATTATGATGTGCTTGTTTGATTTTTTTATCGTGAAATTTAAACAAATGCCATGGGGTTGTTTCAGTAAATACTCTTTTACATGTGATATGAAGGTTATTGTCTCAAAAATGCTATGTATTTGCAATGCTTGATTTAATTATTTACAAAAATAAAAAGGAAGGAAATATAATACAAATATATAAACAGCCCTGAACTCTTGTCAGCCCGAGGGGTCCATAACCACAACGAATGTGCAGTTTCACAAGCACATCTTAGGACATTCTGTTGCCTGTTATGAAAACAAATATAATTTGCTCCAGAGTTAAGCAAGCTGTGATGAGACCCCACATGCCATCAGAAAGCTCTTCTGTGGCCATTTTCTGGCTTAGAGTACATAGCTGAGGATATGTTGAAATCGTAGGTGTTTGGATTTAGCTTGGCAAGGACAGGACATCAGATGAATGAAGAGCTCTAGAGGGAACGCTTGCCAAGATACTCACCAATCTAATGTAATTATTAAATTAGGGGAGGTTCACATCTGTCGTGCGTCTGACCAAACCGCTGTCACACAGACTGATCTGAAGCTCCAGATCTGCTGCCACAAAATAAAAAAGTGCTCTGTTTTTATATTTATAATAAGATTATTCAGGACGGTTTTTCTGTTTGTGTGTTCTTTCTTGGACTATAAATTATGACAGTTGCTTTTTGTCATAGTGCAACACAATGATTTGTCATTGTCATTTGCTATAAATAACTAATCATGGGATCCTTTAAAAGGCAGCGTAAAAGTGAATGCGAAAGTCCAAGGTCAAAGAATGAACAAAAGGTGACCATGATGATTTAGCCTAATTACTGTCTTTTTTTTTTTTGCTTGTGCTTGTTGAAAAGTTAATTATATACACTGATGTCACATGCAATGTTTTGTTATACACTTAAAATTTTTAGTGTAAAATTACAGTATATTCCAGGTTAATAATTGCATTTAATAATTGACGTTCACAGTAATTCCATAGTAGGACTTCTCTTGTATCTAACTCTTGGAATATCATACTGTATTCTGAAGGTATCCAGCATGCAGTGCAGCATGAATAGATTATGCTGTGTAGTTTCTGGATTCTTGTTGGTTTTATCTGTGCTGCTAAACTTATTTTTGTTTCACTTTTAGCAGTTTGTGTTGTTAGTTTATTTTGTAATGTTCAGAATTTATCTTTTTTATTATTATTATTTGTTGAGTGTCACATTGTTGTGTTTTGTATGTCAGTATTGATGTCTGTGCATCATTAGGTGATTTGAAAAACAAAATCTTGTGTTGCATGATGTCACACCTTTCAAAGATAAATATCAGCAGCTGCTTTACTATTGTGAAATATCCATTTACAAACAATTATGAATTTGAAATTAGGTATAAGTAAATCTTTATGCTGATAATAATAGTATAGTTTGACTAACTTAAAATCAGCCAATTAGCTTATTTTATATTCTAGCTTGTTGTTGTTTTAACAAATGTTTTCATTTGTCACACTTCTGACTTGGCTAGAACAGAAATGTGAATATCAATATACAAGGTCCCAAGCAAATGAAACATGAATCACCATGTTGGTGACTTCAAAACAATTACAGTCCTAAACAATATAATTTCTTACAGTGGCATGGTTAAAGACAACTTTATAATGTGAATTCACAGTAAAACAAAAGTAAATTACTGGGATGTCAGCATCATTTTGCTGTTGATTAACAATAATGTGTTAGAAAATGACCCAGCATGCATTCATTTAGCTGTTAATTTTTTGACTACAGTAATTTATTGTAAAATAATACTCTGTAAATTCCTGGCAATTTGTTACAGTGTACCTGGAGTCAAGTCTTGTCTGCTTTAGTTGTGTATTTTTTTTTTGCAGCTTTGCATAAAATAGTGCCTTAATACCCCTGGTGAGCAAGCCAAAAAACAAAAACAAAAAAAACTTGGAAACTCCCTAATGCAATGTAACCTAACGTGCACTCTCGGCATGTCTGTAATTGGTTCTTTGGATAAAGGGAAACTTTTTTCAATGTTTTTCGATGTTCTAATAGATTTCATTAGAAAATTATTTACTAAAGGGTTGGTGAAAAAAATCCATCCATAGAATGCATAATCTTGCATAAAATGTGAGTGAGCTCATTTGTGAAAGTATTTATTGTCATGACAGACTGATCTAATCAAATAGATTTGTATAGGGTGTAAGTATGTTAAAGATCCAGGGGTCAAATGAAATGTCACAGAGAGTGGATTGAAGGTCAAGCTGTAGCAGGACAGGCGGATTGACAAATTCTAGTGTGATGTTATTGGCAATGATGACGCAAATTGGAAACTTCAAACACTTTTGAACGAGTGGAGATGGATTGGACCGTCTCCTTTCTCTTGAGCCTTGACGGTTTGTCTGGCTTTCCTTTTCCTCATTAACTCAGCCTTGATGGCTTCATCATCTGTGTTTCTGTAGACATCACTCTCATGTTTATCCCCTTATTCCCAGTGCATGACCAAATTAAACTTAAAGTTTAAAGTGTTGCTCTTAAAGACAACCTTGCCACTTGACAACTGTCCTAAGGCTAATATTCAGAGTTTTCCAAGTTTTAAAGGTAAACTAGAGATGGATCAAGTCTGCTTCCTTTCGTATCATGGCTACTAACGTTGGAACTCATAAACAAAGTGTATTCAAACAGGGCAGAATTTTTTTTTCCTCTACAAGATACCTCTTTCAGAAGGAAAAGCTACAGAAATGTTCTAGCAGTGCTATAGGGGTTTGTTTATAATATAAGAACAATGGCTTGTACTGTTTCTCCTCTTTGAACCTCACTGGGAGGTGCAGCACAGGAATCATTCAGATCACATTCTACAGAGACTCTTTTTATGGAGTGTATCCAGATATTTTTTTCTAGAAACCAGCAATAATATTCATTTTTAATATTTTTTATTTTATTTATGCAGACATAAAAATGTTAGAAAAATAGTTCATCCCTCTTGGGGAGCTAGAACCTGAGGGAAAAAGGGGTGTATGGGTAATTTATGATCTGGAAAAACCTTTGAGACGATTGACGCAACACAGTGTGTGACATAGACTGAAAATGCGTGTGTTTGTACTAGTCTGGCTATATTAATTGTAATGGTTGTATGTCTGAGTGTTTTTGTTGTGTGGACTTTTAGTTTGTAGTTCTACCTGGTTTCTTGTCTCCTCTTGTTATTCCCTGATTGTTCTTACCTGTTTCTTGTTACCAATTAGCCCTTCTGTATATACTGTAAGCCTTTGCGTTGCCAGTGTTCTTTGTCAGGTCTCACGGGTGTATTGTTTGATGAGCTTAATTCTGTTTCTCTGTTCCTTCTATATTATATAATTTCAGACACTGCATTTGGATCCAGTGCTACATATTTTCTGAGATATCATTGTTGCTCTAGTGAGAGACAATTTAAAAAAAATATATATAATTGAAAGGCTCATAATTTGGCTAAATCATGTTTTTCATAAAATCTATAAAAGCTTCTGTGAAGATTAGGTTGATGTTAGTATAAAATAAACATCAGGACTGTCTTGAGGAAACTGCCATAAAACGTGAGTGAAAGTAAGCATAACATAAAGCACATAAAAGGGTGTAAGAATGTGCTATAAAAACAAGACATAGTTCCCTAGACAGAGTTGACGTGGACTAAATTCTTTGTAGTTGTAGATTCTTTATAGGTTATTCAGTTATCAGGACAAGGTTTTATCATACATTAACTTGGGAGAACATCCCTTTCTATTTTATACATTCAACAGGGAAACTTAAAACCCCCTTTTCCAAGTATGATAAGAGCAGTGACGTCAAGTAACAAGCTACTCCTACATCCTCCCAGAATTTCAGTGGTTTGTAACTGAGTGAGGCCCCCCCCCCCCCCCCACAACCCTGTGTGGAGGGCGTTCCTTACACAATTGGACCTGTACAGTATATTTTCAAAACCAATTTTTGTGTGAAGATGAACATTTTTACCCTATTCTCTTGGAGCATGACTTGAAATAGAGCACGTTATAATAATGGATGTTTTATTTGTTGGAGATACATTGATAAGATTTATCCTTAATTTGATGAGGAAAACAATCAAAAGGATTCAAAAGGATTGTGGCCCAGGACACTTCCTTTACTACTGGAGAGCCTTTGAACAAGGCGCACAACACTACATTTCTCTAGAAAGAATGTTATATTATTCCAAAATATTTTTTTATTTAAAATATAAAAAAATAAAAATAAAAAAAACATATACAGTAAAAATCCTTATTGCAAAATATCAAATTAGGACAGTACTTTTCCATTTTTCATACCATTTCTCATCCTCCAGGCGCGGAGTGCTGCACATTCATGAGAGTAAAGGCATCGATGACCTAGGTCTTCCTCGCTGGGAGCTCTGCCTCTGCCTTATTGTGGTCGTCTTTATCCTCTACTTCAGCCTGTGGAAGGGAGTCAAATCCTCTGGAAAGGTGCAAAAACTCTCAAATGATAATAGCAGTATATAGCTGTTTGATTTAGTCCGTTCCTGTCAGTCATGTGTCTAATACTTTTCTCTCTCTGTAATAGTAACATTTTCAATTTATATAGCACTGTTCATTGTAAAGTGATCTCATTTCAATGGGCAAAAATGGACAGAGCTTTATTTGTTTGTGTTTAGGTGGTGTATATTACAGCTACTATGCCCTACATAGTGTTGTTGGTGTTGCTGATTCGAGGCATAACTCTCCCTGGTGCAATGAATGGAATTAGGGCATATCTCCACATTGACTTAAAGAAGCTCAATAACCCTCAAGTAAGTTCATGCCAATGGCTCAACTTAATTGATGAACTATCCAGATATACTGTATATCACGGACCTAAAAAAAATAGTCACAACGACATACTTCTCTTAGATGGATTGTCACTCATTTTTGTTTGCTGCAGGTATGGATTGATGCAGCTACTCAGATTTTCTATTCTCTAGGAGCTGGGTTTGGAGTCCTTATTGCCTTCGCTAGCTACAATAAATTCGACAATAACTGCTACAGGTACGACAAGTCTTTGATACAAGTGGTAAGGTCTCTAAAAATAATTTCTCTTCAGAATTACAGAATTTCCAAATTCTTCCTTAGTGATCGCTAAAACAGGTTCCAATGTAAGCAAAATATTCTTACATAAAGGCTTATGTTGATTTATTGCTTGATCTTTTAGCCCATGTCCATTTCACACTGCAGCCCAACAATGGTAGTCCACTGAGACTGTGAAGCTCTGGCTTTGCTTGCTTATGGATTGAAGTTCTCACGGAAAACCAGCATGCTGTTTCCAGAGACAAAACTTAGGAAAAGTTGTTGGTGGGGCCAGCAGGTGGCAATCACCTTGTAGGCTTTGTGGATAACAATCTGTTAAGATTATCAGGAGGTCAAGATGTTTCACCACTGAATCGGTTGTGCACTGAGGATTTAACCTCATAATACTCCATTACATCACAAGACTAATTCATTTTAGAGTTTTTATTGCAGAGGTGGAAATTACAATTACAAGAGGTGATAATTGTCTGGGTAAGGATGAAAGAATGGTGTTGTAAATAAGTTTGTCAGTTAATAATCAATTTGTAAATTGGCAAACAGTTTAATTGGTCATAAACGGCTTGTGGATGAGGTGATTCATTCCATGAATGAAGTGTTTTGAAAGTGTGAAGAGGCAAAACAGATTAATTGATTTATTCATTTAAAAGTAAGTGCCCACTTTGGTTAGCTTCTGTTAAATTGCTTGAAATCATGCTTTTGATGCCTAGTCAATGCATACATCTGAAGAATGTTAATGACTTACAGTAAGCAGTATTGATTTCACATCCCAATATGTTGATGTTCCAAAAGATATTTGCTCTCCAGGGCATAGATGTTTTACTAAGACCCAAAATCTACAGTTATTTCAAAATAGGACATAATGTTGCAAGCAGATGGCTGCTCAGATTTATGTGCTTCTTCACAGACTACACTAAATGGTTCCACCCTAGTTCACACACTTTGAAATGTTTAAAATCAGACATGATTTGTTACAATCCTCCTTCTTGGACCTTTTGTTTGGTTATGAATTGGGCTATTGTAATGTCTAGTCATTGCAACTGGCAGAAATTGTGGGAACATGGAAACAAGGTTTTAAAATAAAATGGCAAACCTGAAACTTCACAGTTTGTGCTTTGCACAGGAACCATCTAAATGCGTCTTGATAGAGATTTGAGTGGATCCACAATGGGGTTTAACCACAGCTTTGGCATCGCCTCAAAGTGTTTATGTCATAGATCCTTCTCAGCAAGTTTTGAGACTTAAGATGTAAACTTTCATTTTGTGCTTTGTTGCAGGGATGCTCTTCTGACCAGCACAATAAACTGCATAACCAGTTTCTTCTCAGGATTTGCCATCTTCTCAGTACTGGGGTATATGGCTGACCAGCATGGTGTCAACATAAAGGATGTGGCCACTGAGGGTCTGTTACTCCCACATCTTCACTGTCCTGTCTTTTTTATGAATTGCTCAACCTTTTCATGTTTCTCAGTTTTATACTGTGTACTTTTCTTTCTTCTTTTAGGGGTTACCCAGAGTGTGACCCTAAACAAACTTTTTTTTTTTTAGGGGGGGGGGTAGTGCTGTGTCCTTCTGCTGATCTGTGTTTTTAATTGTTTATATCTGTGTGCAGGAGCTGGACTGGTGTTTATTATCTATCCAGAAGCGATTTCAACTCTACCTGGATCTACATTCTTCGCGATAGTCTTTTTCATTATGCTTCTGACTCTTGGGATTGACAGCTCTGTGAGTACAAATGAATCTTGTTATTGTCTAGGTTCAGATGATTTTGTATTTGTATGGTAAAGAGCATGCTAAGAGTTCTTTTTGTTAAACACACCTTTTTACTTGCCAGCGCCATCTCACATGAAATTGAATAGACAAAAAAATAAATAAACACAAATACACTAATAATTAATACTACAACTAAAAAAAGTGTTGCTTTAAAACATATTGCCTATCTTTAAGAGTAAAATATATTCCTTTTATTTGATGTAATGTACTGTTTAGATGGGTGGCATGGAAGCAGTAATCACTGGGCTCTCAGATGACTTCAAAATCCTCAAGAGGAATAGAAAGATATTTACGTTTGCTACAGCATTTGGGACATTCCTAGTAGCCCTTCTGTGCGTCACAAATGTAAGTCTGTTGGGTCTGTGTCATTTAATTTTGAGTCTAACAATTGCTTTAGTCAATTGCCAAGTGTTTGGGCAGTATCACAATATGAAAATACTCTTGTTGATATTTGTTTTTTTGTCACATTATAAATATCAAATTTCCAAAATTGTACATTTGGATTGTACATATTGTGCTGTTTTTACTGCATAATATTTATTCATTGTCTTTAGATTCAGTGATGTCATCCATGTGATTGCATCAATTGATGGCTTACAGTCAAAATAAGAAATTAGCATAGTGTTTTTGTGAATAAATTTGAATGTGATTATTTACATCATGAGCAGGAAAAACATTTATATGATTACATCATGAGCAGGGAAAATACACAATATAAAATTACATGCAAACAATATGATGATGAATTCATCAATAAAAGTCCTTTATTCAGCAGCATTTGTCTTGTATCTCTGTCATGACAGGGAGGGATCTATGTGTTGACCTTGTTGGACAAGTATGCAGCAGGGACATCCATTCTATTTGGGGTGCTGATTGAGGCCATTGGAGTATCTTGGTTCTATGGTGAGCAGATACATTCATACATTAATGTTTATAGACCATCTTCCACTACTGACCCAAACTAATTCACATTTACATGGATGTTGCATAAACCATATAATGATGATCCTTCCATGTAATCTGTAATCTGTATGTTCATTACTGTTTTCCATCTAGTAAATTTTACATCTAGTAAAATTATTGTGGTTTGCAGTCTGTTTTACAGCACACTGGTGTTGTGTGCTATAGCCTTCCTATCTGTTTCTCAGTCTTACTCCCAGGGATTCCTCAGCATCATACATTTTAGATTTTGGCAGTTTAGCTAGATGGCTGGTTCAGGATTCTGGGGGCATCTTTCTCCACAGACAACCATTCAAAAGTAGCTGTATATGTAGACAAATATATCCACTATTATTTTTCTTTGCAGTTATTTACAACCACAAAAGTTGATTAATTGCATGTATTTTAAAGCCTTGCCGGTTAAACATTTTATTCGCACACTGTTCTGACATGTGCTTTTCTGAGTGCGTACACCGGAAGCGCACACTAAAAGCCTGACAACCAGCTTGAGTACAAAACTAAGTTATCTTTTGTGTCTTATTGTGCTTAAACTGTCAAATACAAAGAAGGTTTACATAAACAGTGAAGTTTACATAAACATAAATCGTGATAAAATCGTGAATCGAGTTTTCCACAAAATAATATTTTTTCCATATCACCCACCCCTAGTCTGCCCCCAGATGAGTGTAGTTTTTTCATCTTCCAGCAGGATTGAGAAACACAAGCATTTATCTCATCAATGTGTATATATATACAGTATATTATTATTATTCCAAAGCATATGTAGTTCTAGTTGCGGCAGACAACCCATGTAAGAAATGGGAGGACATTTATTATAGTCCTACTATGTTTGTTTACTTTCGGATGCATTATCTGTAAAATTATTTTGACAATAACTCTTGAAAGATCCTTGGCTACTTCATAAATATAAGGATCAGTAACTCCCCCCAGAGCAAACATGTACAAATAGTTCAAAGCCTCAGGATTAAAAAATGTCAAGATTATCGGCACTGCCTTCCGTGACATTGCTTCCTGACATCGAACGCTTCTCATATATAACTTTTGAACACAGTTCTGTCTAAGATTACAGTACAGAGAGTTCAGATCATCATTGATATTGTAAGAAGAGAAGCCACAATTCAGAGAAAGTTCTCAGGTTCTTTTATCTTAAAATGATGTCCAGATGCTGCTAATTTCTTTGTGTGTTTGCCTCTTAGGTGTGGACAGATTTAGTGAGGACATTGAACGCATGATGGGCTTCAAACCAGGAATCTACTGGAGGCTCTGTTGGAAGTTTGTCAGTCCAGCATTCTTATTGGTGAGTGAAAAAGAACGAACATAAGACCTGATGTGAATTTTAGGGATATAATGTCCTATCTCTGCCCCCTGTTAGATTACACTTTAAACCAGTTTTGTCAGATAACCTAAAAATGTACTTTATGTGGTATCATCAATTATGTGGTTTTACACAAGTAAAGCGAATAATACTACATGAACTTGCCATTTCTTAGGTGCATGTCTGTAATATTTTCTGATATGAGTAGAGGTGATGTATTCATTCTGGGATGTACCCTAACCTACCAAAGCAGTTCTTACAGGCTAGATGGGAACATTTGGACTTGAAATATAGCTGATGCAATCAAATAGTTTCAATCAAAAATAACTTGATTTATTTTCTTATGCTGACAAATCTGATTCTTTTGTACTGAATAGTGAATTACTTTTTAATGTTTCTGTACTTCCTAACTTCTATTTTCTGTGCAGTTTGTGGTGATCGCCAGCATTGTTACCTCCGGCGACCTGAAATATGATGATTATACTTTCCCTTACTGGTCCAATATTGTGGGCTGGTCCATAGCCTTGTCCTCTATGCTGTTTGTACCCATCTACGCCATCTACAAATTCCTTAGTGTGCCAGGCACATTAAAAGAGGTAAGCAAACACATACACTCATGTTTACATAGCTATCTAAATGGGGACATAAACTTCGATTGTTTTTGCATACAGCAAGTTCTAGAACCCACATCCTAATCATAACAGAAAACTTTATACATTCTTACAATTGTAAAAGTTATGTAAACACACAGACACACACACACACACACACACACACACACACACACACACACACACACACACACACACACACACACATCAAATCAGATTACAGTAGGTTTTACATTAGTACACCCCTTTATTTTCACTCACTAGTAAGAACGCTGGATAGACGAACTTCCAGCAGAGCCTCCAGTAGATTCCTTGTTTGATTCTCATCATGTGTTCAATGTCCTCAATAAAATATGTCCTTGACTTACATCTGCTTCATGACTTTGTGTGGTCCTAGAACTGTGAGATATTTTCATCTGTAAATGTGTCACTTCCCAAAGCCACAAACATGCTACTGGCATCTGGCACAGTGCTTTCACACTCATATTTTCCACAAGCGGCTTTCTACCTTAAATGGTTTCAGAGATCATCTAACACATGAAGAATAAAATGCCACATTGCCATATGTTTCGAAGCAGATAATTGAGTTTTTGTTTAGATTTGTGGTTCATTATTGCTGTGTGTTTATGCCTGCTAGTTCACTTTGTGCTTTGAATGTCTTCCATTGCAGAGGATAGCGTACTGCATTACTCCAGAACATGAACATCACATGGTGGCTGAGGGTAATGTCAGACAGTTCAAGGTAAGACCTGGGCACAATGCTAAAGGTACCATTTACAATGAACAGTTTACCAATATTTAGCAAAGAGAGCCTAGCCCTTTTGCAAGACAAACATCCTTAAATGTTTCTGTTGTCCTTTTTGTCTTGTTTTTCCAGCTCAGACATTGGTTATCCATCTGATGAAGGGGTCAGGTGGGAGTTCCCTCTCAAATGCTACTTGAATGCTGGAGAAGAAATGGTGTGTGTGAGAAAGAAAGGTTTCTGCAAAGGTCTCTTACTGAATGAAAAGTGTCGCCTGAGAAAAGGACAGAATGAAGCGATGGCTTTGTGCGTTTCCCATCCAGTACAGTTACTGTCCAGTCTACTCCATTTGTGTTCAGTGGTTGACTTGGCTTTTTTATATTGTCAGGCAAAATAAATGTTGTGCCTGTACTTTTTTTTTTTTTAAATCATACCCTTATGTTTTATTCCGAACACCTCTCAAAAGACCTCAAAAACCTTCAAAACAGTTCATTTTTTTTGTTTCAAAACATTTTAAGATGTTTTTATTTTTATAAATCATTTTTTGGTTCTAGAATTGCATTTCTGTGATGGTTATAGGTCAATTTTGGTGAAAATGTAAAACACACTGAAGCTATATTATCCTCTATGCCTGGGCAGTTGAATGTGTGTTTATATGGAATAAGTGGGGTGTGACAGGTTAATGTACACCCCAGATTTAAGGTTTACTGTAGGTGACACTGAGAAAAGGAAACCTCCTTGATATTCCAGGAAATCTTTCACGCGGTATAACAGGCTTGGATCGTTCTGAGTCATTGCTACAGTACAGTATATGTTAGCATGCAGTTGTGAGTTTCTCACATTTTACCTTGTTTCCCAAGAATGGTTTGGTTTTGCAACAGCTGGCTTACATCAAGGGTCCACCTAGAATTATCTCAAGCACATCTTTTCCCTTTTCGACACACCTCTCAAAGCAGACATACACCACTGTGTCAGTGCCTTATCTAGCCATAAACTTCCTGTCATTAAGCCTCTCATCCTTGTGAAGAGAGTGCCGGGACGTTCTTTATAACTAAAACATCTCATTGAGAAAGAGTCTCGATTAACGCCATGCCAAGGGAAATTTATAATTGTAGTTTTCAACTGAGATCCAATGATATGCCTCAAGTAGAGGTCTTTTTTTGTTATATTTATATATAAAGGAAAGGGGATTTTTAGTTTTTTGGATCAATATTTTAAGCTTTAATTATGGCCTTGGATTAGAGCAACAATTATCATTAGGACCAATTAGCTAACTTATTGTATGTCAAGAACTTTTTTGAAACATATAACAAAAAACACATAGACAACATTTTGAACTTAAGGACTTGTTGAAGTCCAGCTGACCATGTAAAGCTTACTAGTGTTTGGATACGCTTGGCAGTGGTTTAGCTCATTTAGTTCGAATTGTGTTTGATTTAACAAAAGTTTCATTGAAAATCTATTAACACTGGCAATTCTATTAATTGAGCTCTTGTGGTACAGTACCATTATCAAGTGGTCCCTTTGAACATTTCAAGCATTTATGGGTTGTGTGTGTGTGTCCGTGTGCGAGTTATAGATAACAGATTAGGTTTCTTAGGTTTTCAATGTTTTAACATTTTTAAGTGCCGAAATTAACTCCCGTCATGTTTGTTTGTGTTTTATTTATTTGTGTAGGATAATTTTGCATACCAAAAAAAAAAAAAAGACAGAAAACATGATCTCTGGTAGGAAGCAAGCAACATATGTGGATTATGAAATATAAAGAGATAAAAATATATTCTTTTGTCATATATCTAATATTGTATGTATCAAATTCTTTATAAAATGTGAATGTTAAACATTTTAAGCAAAGTGTCTACTGTTATATCATGCTGTGTGATGTCGGTAAAGATATAAATATTCAGAAATGTATTATTCCGTGTAACTGGGGGTGACGTAGCCACGTGAATGTAAACGGAGCAGCTCTGGCATTTCTGAGTGATGCTTACAGAATAATGTGTACAACTACAAACTTGTCCTTTTTTTTGTGATTGACAAATATATATGAAGAAGTCAAAATATGCACATTATAACAATAAAGTCCTTTCCAGTACACAAATAAAGTACAAATATGTGTTTTGTCTTCTTAATGGAGCATTTCCTGTTGTTGTTTTGTTTTTACTACACACACTTGACAGTGCTCATCTTTTTGTGGCCCTTGGTTATATTGATGAGAGACTACACCAGTGTTATGTCCTGCTGAGCACAGACTTACAGTGCTGTTTTCTGTCTCTCAATAGCATTCTACTTTTTGTGTGTGTTCTGTTTACCCGTCTTTTGCCGGATGTAAGCCGAACCTCAGCTAGACAGAGGCGGAGCGTGTGCCACACATTGCCCCTGGTGCCTCTAATTCATAACCTGGAAGATTCTCCTCTTCAATGAAGGTTAGTGCCAGATGGATTGACTGATCCATTGTGGTACTCATAATATCCACTGAACAGTGTAACAGTCCAGTCAAACTGTTTTGAACAATTATTTTTTGCAATACATACACTAAACCAAGTATTTTTATGAACTAATAAAAACGTACTCGGTTACTAACGAAACCTCTGTTCTCTCTAGAAGAGGGAACGAGTACTGCGTAATATCTTACGCTAGGGGAAAACCTATTTTCCACGAGATATTGAAGCCAAAAATTATCCTTGATTTTGTATGAATGTAAAACGCGTTGCAGCAGCATGCAGACATAGGCAAGGCGGCTTGCGTGCCTATTGGCTGTCCTGCGGCAATTGCAGCAGCCTATCGAGAGAGGCCCTTTGGTGACGGTCCAATGGGGCGCTTCGCGCCCACTGCGTCACCTTCCCGCCGAAGTAGGCGTGGCCTAGCTCTATAAATATAGCTCGATAGGCTGATATCACTGGTTTTTCATCGCCGAAGCGAACCAGAGCGTGTTGCAGGCACGGCAAGATACGCAGTACTCGTTCCCTCTTCTAGAGAGAACCGAGGTTACGTTAGTAACCGAGTACCTTCTCTTACGAGAGGTTCTCTCGTACTGCGTAACATCTTACGCTAGGGCAACACAATGTAAAACACCATGCGTGCTGGGATCCAACACCAAAGTCCCAAGGGCAGGTGCCCGGGGCTCATATAGTGCACAATCACCAAGGACTCATAGAGAGTCTGAGAAGAGAGGCTAACAGCGTCATTCCCAATAAGTTAGCATCCAAAGGAACTAATCACATCAACAGTGTTCCACACAGTCAGGGTGAAAACATTCGACCTGAACTGTGTAACAGTATGGGTCTTACTTTTTGCCCATGGGGTAATTTTATCGGTCAGCGAGCGGTGCTCAAGCGATTTTAGTATTCTGCGCCAAAGCAGGGGGGCAGACAGTACTTGATTTTATACCGATAGTAGTTTAGCCTGTAAGGCGGGAACCTCTAGGTTATAAAACCTTATAAATGTAGACGGGGAGGCCCAGCCTGCTGCCATACAGATATCTTGTAAGGTAATCCCGCTAGACCAAGCCCACGACGAGGCCATGCCTCTTGTGGAGTGCGCTCTAACACCTAAAGGGCATTTAAAGCCCTTTGACGTGTATGCCAGCGCTATGGCGTCAACTATCCATCTGGATAGGCTCTGTTTCGACGCGGCTAGTCCCTTAGCACAACCGCTGAACGAAATGAAGAGCTGCTCAGTCTGTCTGAAAACGGACGAGCGAGACAAATAAGCTCGTAATCCCCTGACTGGGCAAAGGAAGCTCGCGTCCATCTCCTCGTTATAAACCGGCAGGGCGGACAGGGAAATAACCTGGGCCCTGAAGGGTGTGTTGAGGGATTTAGGCACATATCCGTGTCTTGGTTTGAGTATGACTTTCGAGTCATTTGGCCCAAATTCCAAACACGTCGCGCTCACCAAGAGCGCTTGCAAATCCCCTATGCGCTTTACTGAAGCGAGAGCCATAAGAAACGCTGTCTTGAACGACAGATGGATCGGCTCAAACAGGGCACCTTTCATGGCTTCCAGAACCGTGGAAAGGTCCCACATGGGGATTGAGGGGGGTCCGGGAAGATTTAGGCTCTTAGCTCCTTTTAGGAAGCGGATGACCAGATCATTTTTTCCCAGTGACTGGCCAGTCGCGGGTTTTATAAACGCAGCTATGGCCGCCACATAAACTTTGAGCGTGGATGGGGTTCTGCCCTTATCCAGCAGCTCTTGAAGGAAGGAAAGCATTTCCGTAACCCCGCAGTCTGGAGGTGAAAAGCCTCGGCCTTTGCCCCAGCCAGCAAACACTGACCATTCCGAGGCATTGAGTTGTCTAGTAGACGGCGCTCTAGCCTGTGCGATCGTGTTTAACACTCCCTCTGGGAGGTTTGCGGGTACCCGTTAATGGCCCATGCGTGCAGGGACCACAGCTCCGGGCGAGGATGCCAAATCGAGCCCTTGGCCTGAGAGAGGAGGTCTTTCCTCATCGGTATTGGCCATGGGGCAGTGCTCGTCAGCTGCATCAGGACTGGGAACCAAGCTTGGTTCGTCCAGAGCGGAGCCACAAGGAGCACTAAGCATCTGTTTTCCCTGATTCGTTCTAGCACCTGAGGCAGGAGCGAAACTGGGGGAAAAGCATAGAGCGGGCAGCGGGGCCAGACGTGGGCCAGCGCATCCCTGCTCTTGGAGAAAAAGCTGTTTGCGGCGGTGGCCAGCAGAGCTAGAGCGTGGTCTCGGATCCCGGGCCTGGCGGTGCTGTGAGCGGTGGCGAGCGGAGGCTGCGGCTGAGAGCTTCAAGCAGACGGCTGTTTAGGGCGGCGGAGCTAGAGCGCTTCGGGAGGAAGTGCTTCAGAGCCTGTGACGTCTTTTGAACCTCGACGAATCTTTCCGCTAAATCTTTGACGGAAGACCAGAAGAGGCCAGTCGGGGAGATGGGCGCGTCGAGGAACACAGAGCGCTCCGTGTCCGGCATCTCCGACAGCGTCAGCCATAGATGTCTCTCAGCGACGGTGAGAGAAGCCATGGTCCGCCCAATGGCCTGTGCAGCAGATTTCGCGGCGCGAAGAGCCTGGTCTGTAGCGCTCCGTAAATCCAGCACGTTGATAGCTCCCGGGCCTTCCTCGTCCAGTTTTCGGAGAAGGTCGGCCTGGAGTATCTGCAGTATGGCCATCGAGTGAAGTGCCGACACAGCCTGCCCAGTGGCGTTGTAAGCGCGGGAATGCATGGCTGAAGTAGTGCGGCAAGCCTTAGATGGTAGCGCCGTCTTAGCTCGCCGTCCAGCAGAGGGCGGGCAAAGATGGGCCACTACGGCTTCTTCCACGGGGGGAAGCGAGAGGTAACCTCTGTCTTTTACAACGTCCACCACGGAGAATGCTGCAGAGACAGAGGAACGCACTCGGGCTGAGAAGGGGGCGTTCCAGGATTTCGCGACCTCTTCGTGAAGC